AAAATCCCATTATCGTGCGAACGGGTTACTAAAAAACCCAAACAGTCAGTCGATAGTATGCCTCTCAGTGTCGATACTTTAGATCACTCAACGCAAACACCAAAGAGGAAGCAAGACACCACTCCTATTCCCATAAACACCAATAAGCTAGTTAAGAATAGGAGAAAAAGACGCTCCAAGGCTCAGACGACACAGTCCAACGCCCAGAAACAGCATAAGGATGACTGTTTTGCCTGCTCATTACCAGTCGAAATCAGCGACCGTGCTTTCGAATGCAACTTCTGTAGTACATGGGTACATTGTCACTGCGACACTACAGTACTACGGATTCATGCTGAGTCACCCCTGCCCACGGTTCTGGTACATTCGCCCTCGGTGTAGAGTTTCCGAGGCACTGACAAAGCCAAAGGTCCCACCCAAAATCAGCCCTAACGTCCAAACGACCAAAGCAAAATCGCCTGGTACTAAACCAATAAAACAAGTGACCCAGGCTACCACGACCCTGCCTAACACACCGACAAAACTGTCGGTTGTTGTTAAACCCCCAGTATCTGCTAGTAATACAAAACGGTAGGTGAACCTGGAGGAGGGAAATAGCAACGCCCCGACTCACAAGCGGCTACAACCCAAGAACGGGCACGACAGATCAAACTCACTTATTTTGTTTAATGTCCCAGTATCGGAAGCAAGCTTGCTAGAAGGTAGGGCTGCCTTTGACAAAGAGCAGTGGGATAAACACTTCACAACCCTTGGAATGTGCAACGTCCCAGCCAAAATATGCCGCCTTTTCAAAGGCCAAAATTTCTCGAAAGAAAAACCCCTTCAATCACGGTAGCTCTTGACTCTGTACGACTTGCTGAAAACATCATCCTTTTATCCCAAAGACCATCGGTCTAATTGTCCTCGCCGATTTGCATCAGGCACGACAAGCCGTGGTCGGTCCGTGCAACAGCCAGGCCTTCAAGAACAGACCACCATGGTAGTTCACCGTATACCCGAACTCACCAGCGGTAACCCGGACGAAGCTCACGGGCACGATGTGCAACAGTGGCGATGGCTATCGCGTAGCCTATCCCTCCACACCACGATGGCAGTTTGCGTTTCTAGGTTGCCCCGCCCGTCACACCTTACGTCCATCAAGTCACCACGCCTGATGTCTGTGACATTTAGGAACCGGGAAGACCTGACTAAAACACTTCAAGCTTGGTATAGTTTGAGGAACCATCTACCTAGCCACATCAGGTGTTGCGAAAGCCGACCTAGATCTGTGAGACAACAACAGGGAGGCCAAAATGAACGTACAAAACTGATAGTTAACCTCGTTCAACTACCCCAGGCACAAGACATGATTGAACCAATAGATCAGGCAAAAAACCTGCTGGGGTCAGTTCCCAAAGAACTGGCCGATTCGGTTTGAATAACTTGTCTGAAAGTCCGCTGCTGCAGAAGTGAACCAGGTGCTGAGACAAACCACCAAGTGCCTCTATAGCAACGTAAGAGGACGGATTATGGCGTACACCATATTAAACACGCCAAACCATCCCAATGTGAGCATCTTACCGATGCATCACCACCACTCCCCTCGAGGCAATCCTCGAAAGATTGCACATCAAAGAGCGAATACCCAGGTTCGTGCACACTTTTTCTCATTGCGAGTCGTGGCAACTTGGAATGCTCTCCCAGCCGAGGTGACCACAACCCCCTCAGTGGACTGCTTTAAGAAGAGACTTGATAATCACGTACTCACATACAGACTATCATCACCCTCTTGGACAAGCTGTTCATGATGTAGATCTTGAGACCTGCTAGTTGTTATCGTTGCCATCTCCTCAGATAGATCACTTACATAATCTCTCTCGCCTATTATCTCCGTTTCCTCTCCCTTGCTTACACTTCGGTCCTCTCTCACAATCCTCACTACCAATTAACAAACTAAATTCATCTATATATTACTCAGTTCTGAAATTTTATTCATATTATTATTTTAATTTATCCTTATTACCCTTATTACTCTCCACATTGCATCTAACTGATCTCCGGTTTGGTTATGTAATGGCTGTAGAATTCTTTTTGAATGTTTTGTTTTTGGGAAAATCCCTCCATGTTTACATATTCTTGCCATGACCTGATGGACTTTTTCTCTTGACATTTTTGGTATTTTATTTGATTCCAATTTGAGATTTTACCATTGTATATTGTTATTCTTTCCATATTTTGTACTTATATTGAAGTTTTTGTGTTTGCTTTTGAACTGTACATATATTTGTTTTAAATTTGATATAATATGGTTACCGCCACAATTTTTGGATAGACGCAGTG